GGTGGTTGACCAGGACCTGCAGCAACATGGAGAAACAACCCTTCCTGTTGATCAATTGGGCTGCTCGATTATGTGGTTGTGTGGATCAGGATGTGGGTTCCATTAATGGCTCCCCCTCAGTTGGGGAACCCCAGGGTGGAAAATCCTGTGATGATGGGGCCCAGGTCTCTGAGGTGGATGACCCTGCGCAGCAGGCTGCAGTGTATCACCCTCACAACCTGCAGAAGGAGACAAAGAAACAAACAAAACAGAGTGAGTGCCCGAGCCCTTGGGAGGTGCTCACCCCCCTTCCCTCCCTCCCTCAAGCTCCCCTGGAGCTACCCCTAATGAGGAGGGTGGAAAATCCTGTGATGATGGGGCCCAGGTCTCTGAGGTGGATGACCCTGCGCAGCAGGCTGCAGTGTATCACCCTCACAACCTGCAGAAGGAGACAAAGAAACAAACAAAACAGAGTGAGTGCCCGAGCCCTTGGGAGGTGCTCACCCCCCTTCCCTCCCTCCCTCAAGCTCCCCTGGAGCTACCCCTAATGAGGACACTCCCCCAGTAGCAGGGCTGTGTGAGGGTGGGACGGCCGGCACGGCACAACCCCCCAAGCAGGGGGCTTCCCCGCCCACTCGCAAGCCATCCCTTCACCCCCCCACCCTCCCTTTTCCCTAGGGTCCTCCCTTTCCAGTACTCCCCTCCCCCGCCCCACTACAGGAACTGCAGCCCAAGAGAGCCTTACCTCTATGAAGAGGGCCCCAACGGTGGACTTCCCCATGCCGACTGGTAGCAGTCTGGGGTAGCGAGTTTCCAGACAGTGATGGAGACCCGTTTCTCCAGAGGGATGGCGGGCCACAGGTGGGTGTCGTGTCATCGAAGGGCAGGAGTGAGCCAGGCACAGATCCATAAAGGTGGCCTTCTGCATGCAGAAGTTGTTGAGCCACTGCTGGTCACCCTACCACTCCACGAATAGCCGATCCCACTAGTCGGAACTGGTATCCAGCTCCAGAATCATCTCTCTACCGTGGGATGCAGGTGCAAGTGCCCTGCTCCCGCATGTAGGAGTCACAGATGAGCTCGGAGTTGAGGTGGGCCAGGACCATCATGATGGTCTGCACAAACTGCTGCAGAACCTGCAGGATGGAACTGTGGGACCATCTCATGCCCAGAGGTAGCTCCGGCTCCATAGCAAAAATAATGCTGTGGTGTCCAAAAGCTGGGCAACCAAAGCACACACTGCAAGAGCTCTGCTGTCCCTTGGAGAGGTAAGCAAGCACGCAGCAGAACCTGAGAAACAGTTGTCCAGGGAGGCCCCTTTAAGCACGCATCTCAGATAGCCTCAGGCAACAGCACCCGGAAGCAACTACTGACCTAATGCCCTGCCTGAACTGGTTCTGGGTGGCCTTTTATGTGAGGAAACATCCAATCAATCAGTGTGGACACTCTCTTTCGCAAAAGCACATCACTTTTTTGACGCTCTTTTGTATGTGGATGCTCTCTTTCAAAAGAAGTTTTTTCGGAAGATCTCTTGCAAAAAAAATTTCTTTCGAAAGCAGCTTGCAGTCTAGACATAGCCTGAGAGGCACCTGGCGTCAGATTTGAGGAAGTGCTTAGTACTCACATCTGCAACTGAAGTTGACTGAAGCTTTGCTCTATTATAAAGTGCTAGAAAAAATGCTAAATAATCTGGAAATTCATGCTTTACAGTTGGGCACCCAAAATTAGGAAACACTAAAGAATTTTGGCCTCTCTCTTTTCCTGCTGTAAAAGGGAACTATCATCAACTCATCTACCAGGCTGTTATAAAGCTACAAAAATTATGAAGCACAAAAATACTATGGTGAGAAGACCATAGACATGCACATCCAGGAGGAATTAATGCAGCCCTGGTTTTGGAATGTTTAAAAAAACCCGTCACTCACTGAATGAGGCAGGTGTCCTGTGAGGGGTGGGGAACCCAGTGACCTTAATTGGAATTTTCTGACTGTTGATGCACATCTTTGTAATGTTAGCATTCCTTTAACACTTTTTAAAATTTCACTTCCTAATTTATTTATTTTTAAAACCAACTTTTAAAAATCATCATGTGGAATCACACTGACCCCAACATAGATCAGCAGCAGTGTTCAGACTTTAACATTCATACCACCTGAAATCATGGAGTAACAGAGGGTACCAGCCTACTTCTGCTGTGTGACCAACTCTTGAAGGGTATACAACACTTTGCCAGTGGATTTGACAACTATGTGCAGACAACAGAGGAATATAGAGATTCATGAAGGTTTAAAAAAAACAACACACATAATATTTTGCACTTGTACAGCGCCTGTTCTCTATGGCTCTCAAAACACTTTATGAAGATGAACAAATCAAATGTTACACACTGTAGTTAAGTGCTATCCTTACTTTTACAGAAAGGCAAAATGAAACACACAAAAGTTAAATGACTTGCTCTAAAAATCACACAGAAAGCCTATGTCAGAGGCAGGAATTACATTCCAGATCATTCAACTCCTATTCCTTTGCTTCAACATGAAGCCCTTCTTTCCTCAGATTTAGATGCATTTCCTTATTGACATATTTCAATTTCACAAGACAGTTTTAGATGTCTAACAATATTACTGTATTAACCAGCACTCTGTGTTAGAGAGAGAGAGAGATCCAGTCACTACCAGGATCCCATGATACCAAACCATGAAGCAACAAATAGCTTCACTAATTGCAACAAAGATCCTATACAGACAAATAACATGTCCAACTCATTACAAAGGATACCTCTCTTTCAACCCAGATTTGATTAATTTTCTCAGTGTCCTCAAAGTACTGAGAAAGATTAAGGAACGTGTTGGCCAATTTCTTTCCACATAATACAACTGTAAAACAAAACCACATCAACCTACAAAGTAGGCTCATCCCTATTATACAATTTTTTTTTTGCCAAAATAAGCTGGTATCTTTCAGAACTTTGCTTTTAGACATGCAACATGCACAACATTTTGAATAGCCACAAGTTTGAATATGAAATAATAATTTGGAATAGAATGATGAAAGCTCCCTAAGCAGTGACGGGGGGCCACCACTGCCCTGTGCCACCTTCTCCCCAAGGCCCACTCCACTTATTCCCCCACAAAACCCTCCCAACCCACTCGCTCCTCTCCCCCCTACACCAGCTTACTCTTACAGCTGGTAAAAAGTGATGGGGGTTATGGCCCCCTGACTTCCCCTATTCCTGCACCCCACATTCAAAATGGATAACAGCTCAGGAAAATCAATCCTTCACTCTGTAATATGGACAATTACTTTTTAAACCATATACATTACACTTTTCATCATCTGACCTGCATCTGGGAGGTAGGGAATAGATACATGAATTACAACCTACATCTAGTCACAGTTCTGCACAATTAAGGTGTTTTCTTGAAGTGAAAGTTAAAGCAATCTCCAATGTGCCTACCAGGAAACCGGGCTTAATCAGGGCCCAACTCTCCCTACCACAATGATGGCCCAGTAACAGCTCAGGCTCTAATATATTTCATTCAAAATTAGCTGTGAGATGGATAGGGTTTGTTTTTTTTAAATGGAAGACTCAGGACATCTTCATATGAGATCCACTTAGAAGTTGACAGACAGCACATCAAGATGGAGAAGGATGGATCAACTATGGAGAAGGTGATTTCTTTTTGTTCAGTAAAGAAGGAAAGGTCACCCAATCCTCACATTTCCCCACTGCCTACTAACTTTTCCCAGTTCAATGTATAACTTTTTATGTAAATGTTAACATGACATGTAGTCTGAAAGTTCTGTCAGTAAATGCTAAGCTTAGTATACTTTTTACAACAAAAAATCTAGTCTGTGATCTACATGGCACATCTGTACAGTCATTTTGCTCTCCCCACGTGTAGAAATCCTGAGCGAGTTTTAAAGAAATTTCACCCCTTATGGAATTTCACAAACACAGGAAGAGCAGAACATCAGTACAAATTAGCCAAGTGGTCTACAGGGCAGAACCACACACAGACACACATACTCCCCGGCCTGGCCCAGGGGTGGGGAAGCCTCATGTGCCTCCCACCAGTGCTCCCTGGGATGTCAGCTGCTTCTGGCTAGTAGCTTCCCGCTGGGGTGATTGCTGTCTCTCATGGTCATTCTGCCATATGATTCCCTCCTACCAGACCAGAATTTTATGAGATACAGTTGAATTCCAGGCACATGACATTGTCCTGGCACAACCAGATTCTAACCTTGCTTTAAGTTACGGTAAGAGGAAGCTGCATACCAAACTTGGTGCTCCTAATTTTTATAGTTTAGGAAGAGTTCTTGAACAAATGGACTCTCAGACAGACGGACCTCAGCCCTCTCTCACTGCAGCAGCTTGGGGCCATGTGAGATGCGTCTATCTGTGGCTGCTGCAGCTCCAGTAGACACAGCCGGGGGAGGGGTGCATGTCCCCTGGTTCATCTACTCACCACACTCCCCAGCCAGATTGAGGAATTGAACCAACTGCACACTTTCCCCTAGCTCCCTGATGAAGGGGAACAGCTAGTAATGTTCTTGAATCAATGGAGGGGAGCTTCAGCCCCCTTGCCCTTGCTAAAAGGCCCCTGGGGGGGGCGGGAGGCTTGAAGCTGGGGCAATTCCTGGTAGAGGAGAGGGGTGAGCCCCCAGTCAGCCTCTTGCACCCAGCTGGTGATTTTATCTATTTTCTACATGGTTTTATGCATCCCTGTACACATCAGGCAGGGAAAGCTCCAGCCCCCCTGCGCACGCGTGCACGCACACACAGAGTCTTCATATCTCCACCACATGCCACGTCAGATTCCCTCTGACTTTTCATGATTTCCCAATAGTTATAGAAAATAGAGACGTGATTACTAATGAAAGTTTACAGTGGTTTCTCTCTTTTCCAAGATCAAAAAGTCTATAATTTGAATTTCTGTAACAAAGAGAACTTGAGGCTTTAAGATTTGTATTTTCTGAAACCTAAAGGCCCATTTGTACATAATAGCATATGTTCTTACCAGCTGTTAGTATGGTTTTAGAACTCTGTATTAGACTGGAAGATCTCACAATTCCTGAAATGCCTGTGTACAGAGAAAGGATATAAAACACACAGATGTTATCCATCCTCGTCTTAAAAAATGTTTTTAAGAAAAAAAATCACAAGTTAAATATTTTTTCAGTTATTCAATAAAACAGCCTGCAAGTAAAACTTGCAATTCTCTTAACAAAAACTTTCTATTTTGCTTTGTCATGTTCATTTGAGAATTTGTTCCAAATGCTCTTTTAATCAGTTTTGTAAAACACTGCATTGTTTATATGGAAAATCAATGTTGAAGACTTGGTAGTAATTAGTAGAGTTTGATTCCATTCATTCAATCTTCCCCATTATATTTCTGACCCCAGTTGCCAGTCACAACAGAGCTTTGCCATTTCACTGCCTGGCTTGTTAAAGAAATTAACAAACTATTTCAATATGAAATTATGTTTTCACATACTGTTTTATAGCATTTTCTCCTGCTCTGTCTCTAAACAGACATGTAAGTTTAGTTTATAAGTTCTTTGAGGAAAGGCAAGTCTATTCTGTTTTGACACAGTGTCAAGTACAGTTGATCTTCATTATTGGTTAGTCCTTAGACATTGCTGTAAAAATATAATTAAAAATAGTGGCTCTAAAAATACTTCCAAAATTGATTAGTCCATTTTAGAGAAAGCATTTAAGTTGCGCTACAAAAGAAAACTAAATTATAATGCACATTTGTGTGTGAACTTTTCTGCATAACACAGCTGTTGTACACTATCACAACCTGTGAATGTAGAAGAGCATCTGTCTTAATTAGGGATGTTTAAATTCATGTATTAATATAACTGCTGTTTCATGTTTACATGTGGGGCAACACCCCAGGAGCCAGTGCATGGAACGGATGTGTGGGGAGCCAGACCCCGTACCTCATGCTGCTGCCTTTGAGAAAATTAGCATTTTACAGCTCTTTTATCTACAGAACAACATTAGTGGCAGCAGCAGCATAAGCATGTATACATTAACCTGCTTGCATGATTCAACCCTGACCTAGAGGGACAGCTCATGAAGGTGAAAAGCAGTTCGGGTGCTTTTGCCCAAAGTTTGATATGTCTGCCTTGACATCCCACATATATGCTAATTATAATGTAAGGATTTTGCAGTTTGTTAGCATTATTCTTCCAAATTCAAATGAATCAATTAGCATACCACTGATATGAAGTTCAATATTTAATTGAAACTGTGCATTTGTCCTAACAGGAGAGACAATCTTCTCAGGCAACCAGAAAATTAAATATTCAAATTAAACCAAGTTTATTTAGGATTGGAAACAGGAAATTTATATTTTTCCACATTAATATAGACAAGAAGAAGATGATATAATAACCTGAAGATTTATGAGAATGTGTTTGCATCCATTATATCCTAAAATTAAGCATCTGAATACAATGCAACATCTCAGAATCAAATTTTCTCTCTTTTCCCTCCACCCTCTTAAATTGTTGGACTGGATTCTCTTAAGCTGTTTCCACGTAGTATAATAAAATCAATTCTTAAATACAGGTTGAATCCCTATAGTCTGGCACTTGACCGGTGCAGTACCAGAGAATTTACTAGACTGTGGGAGGTCAATATTGTCCAGCATCATTATTAAATTTCTACTGCTTACCGGGGTCTTAGAAGACATTTAGGGATAAATTAGAGCTAAACAACAGCCCAGGATCGGTGGCTATAAGCAAACTTTATGGGACATGGGAAATTTGGCCACACCCATGATAAGTGGATATCTGGCTAACTAAAAACATGCTGGACCACAGATGTTGCCAGACCAGAGAGTGCTAGACTAGTGAGGTTCAACCTGTATATCATGTCCAGTCAGGGACTGCCTCTCTGCAGCCTTAGACCTACCCTGATATACTACTAATCCACAGTCAGGGTCATGGGCTACTTGCAGTAAAACCTCTTCCACATCTCTGTTCTTCCCAGGAGGGTCCACAAAAGAAGTGATCTTTTGTTGAAGAGTCCTCGGCAAAGCCATAAGCTGCATGAATTGACCTTCTGGACTTTTATCAATCTGAACATCACAAATGCAAAAAAACCAACAAAAAACCCCCAAAATCCCAAAACAAAACAAAACAAAAACAAAAAACAGGGGAAACTGAATTCAAGAGTCAAAGTCACATCTTGTAAAGAAACAGTTAACACAAAATCCACACTTTTCCCAAGAAAGCACAAAAGGGTTTTGGTTACATTTGATCCCTACTAAAGCTATACTAATCATAAAGCTACAAAGTTGCACATATATGCAGAAAGATAATACAGTCTATTATACATACACACACTTGTACAAAGAGTCATAGGCAACAGAAGTGAAAGCTTCCTAGGTCCTAAAAAAGCAGTATCTCAACCATAACCTTTAAAGACAACGTAAGTGCAAGCAAGATTCAATTTTTTTATTTTTAGGTAGCCATGTAAATTGCACATGCTATCTTGCTGATACTGCAAGCAAGTCAGGAACACAACTGCATATGTTCATTTTTAATTTACTCAAATTACTCAAAGTAAATGCAGAAAAGAAATATAGTCTTCAAAGACACACAACATTCCATGTGCTGAAAATGATCAAGCATTAAGCAAAATTATTAATGTCATATTTTCACTATTTTAATATTAGTTTTTATTAAAACTGAAAAATGTCTCTTATCTGCCTTAAACTTTGCACCATGTCAGGTTTATGTAACTTTAAGGAAATGTTCTGATCACCATCCTTTGCTCCAAATTTTCCAGTTTTTTATTTCTGAACTTACTAGAAAGTCTCAAAAAAAAATCAAAGTTCACTCTAAGCTGCAGGGCAGCATGGCAAGCAGCTGCTTAATGAGTCAGTCCCTTCCAGCGGCTCAGGGCTGCCATGCACAGAGGAAGGGTACTTCTCCCTCAGCTGTGGCAGCTGCTCCCTGCTAAGGACAGAGCAGCGAGCCTCTCAGAAAGTAGGGTGTTCACTTAAAATGCAAAGATTCTCTGTGAACTGAACTGAGAGTAGGTAATAATTACTGGTCTGCATTACTGTATACATGGTTTTGATTGCCGTATTTCACTAATCTTTAGAACATGCGCACTAGGACAGAGTGAACAAAACAGACAGGATACCCCAGTATTGCACATAAGCACATAAACACCTGCAACTTGGAATGAGGGGTAATTCAAAAGGCCCAGCATTTTCATCAGCCATCACTGAACTGTGTGGCTAGAACTTAAACTTCTTTCATTCAAGCCTCAGCTAATTTGGTTGCAGATAGTAATATCTATAAGCAGTGTTTCCAGCATAGCTTCACAGGTGATTCATTAGCCACACCCAGTCCGTCAGCTGCATGCACAAAGCCCTGAGCCTATGACTGGGCAGGACTGATTGATCACCTGTGAAGCTGAGCGGCAGTGAATCTTAGAGGGAACACTGCCTGTGAGTTATTTCCCAATTATTTGCTGCAAACCATCTGCTTTTGGCTATCACACTCTACAATCTGCTGCTTCTCAATGGCAGTTATCAAGCCACCTGTTTTAAACCAACCTCCTCCTATCCCCGTGCCAAGACTCTCAGCAATACCCAATGAGAGGCTGAACAGCAGTTTACTGTGAATAAGAGCTAAAACTTGTACTTACTGATTGATATTTGTGCCATAATTGCTGGAATTATTTCAGTAACAGAAGCATAATAAATGCAAACCAGAAAAACTAGAGAAATTCACACTGGTGCATTATGCAATTCCTGCTAAGTAATAAAGCAATTCAATCTGTGGGTTTAAAATGTACAATGTAAACCATTTACCTCTAGCCTGCCCAGCTGGTGCTTATACACCACTTGAGGGCACTCCTGTAATATGTTACTGTAGAGCTTCTGAAAATGGGGTACATTTGGTTTCACTATATTTAGCACCTTTGACCTATCTTCTCCAATTATCATTCTGAAATCACCTAAACCAAAGAAAGAAAAATAGTCAACATACTTGGAATCAGAAACAAAGAACACAAAGCCACAGAACACACAGGAGATTAATATGGCATAGAATTACACACCATTCATTTGAAGCTGTTTATGCTCTGATTATTCAGAAGCCACATGCACTCAATGAGGACTGTCTTCTAATAATGAAGTACTTTCCAGACACCTGCCAGATTGAGAATAGCTCAGAGATGGGCATCTGGTTCACACCATATTGTGCTTCCACTAGCCCACTGTGCTGACATTTTTAGTTAATTAAAAAAAGAGAAAAAACCCCACCACACTCAGTGAATCCCATCACTCTAAAATAGTTGAAAAGCCCAACAAATGAAGTTTAGCACTCACATGACAATCTTAACAGACAACCAAGTGTAAAATTATCCTGAGAATTGACGGTGCTTTATATCCACAGAAATTGGCAAGAACAGGGCTGATATTACATAAACACTCATACCTAACAGGTACTAAGCACAAACTATACACTGAAGAGCTGTAATGGAACATGTTGTCAAGAAACATCTCGGTACCAAGACACACCCCGTAGATAATAGGAACATACCAATCCAGGTTCAGGGCAGGGTCTAAACTGGCGATATAATAGAACTTCTAAGTATACAGTGATGTTGGGGTAACCATGAAACAGAAGGTGGAAACTTGATACGTCAGGAGTGATGTGTAAATTGTTTGTACCTATGTATAAAAGTGTACCCCAAGGGAGTTGTCTTTGTCTGATGTAGGCGACAGTGGAATATTTCATGCTACTGCCTGAGTGGAGTCTGTTGTAACGAGCAAACATGTGTTAGCCTAACTGTTTACATCTGATCCAGAGAAGTTAGAACTGTGCTGTATCTATAATAGACCTGACCTGTTGCCGTCAATCGTTATCTAATTTTTGGAAAGGCTCTCTCGGAGTCTGCTGTGTTGGCTATTTGTGCACACCAACATGACACACAGAGGGGTCAAACACAGAGCTGAACAGTCATCATCACTGATGGAGCAGCAGTAAGGACCTGTAAGGACACCACACCAGTGATGCCTACCTACCACAAACACTTTAGGAATACCATAGGTAGAGAGCAAATGCTTTGCAGAAGTCAATGGCAAGTGCCTTTCATGCATCTGAAGGCTAACTTTAGATCACATGACTAACATCCCATTTCTCTAGGTATGAATTGTTTTGTAACGTACTTTAACACAACACAGCCCTCAGACAACAAGATTGAATATCTGTATTTTAGTATCTATAACTTATACTTTTACTCATTTCCATCACCCCCCATTTCCTTTTTCAAATAGGGATGTAAGCGAGTAGTCAGCTACCCAATAAGCATAAGCTTATCGGGTAGTTGAGTAGTGACTAGACTAGTTGCTCCCCGCCCTCGCTGCCTCTATCAGAGAGAGGTAGCAAGAGGAAGAGAGCAGGAGCTGGTGCTGTGCCTCTCCCTTGGAAATCTAACAGGAGCCCCATGGAGGTCTTGCTATATTTCAAAGGCAGAGCGGAACCCCAGGCGAGCGGGAACTGCCCATGGCTCTTATATGTAAAATACAGAGGCATAGCAAGGATAGGAAGCACCCCACCCCATCCCTTACTAATTGAATAGTCAATGGAAATTTCATCGACTACTCGCTTAGTTGACTAATCAAAATTTAACATCCCTATTTTCAATATGTACTAGATAGTAAAACCATGTAGTCCCTAAACCAGTCATTGGATTTCAGTGCACAGCAGACCCACTTGGCCAGCTCTGCAGCTTCCTCATAAAATCATAGGATTGGAAGAGATCTCAGGAGGTCGCTGAGTCCAACCCCCTGCTAAAAGCAGGACCAATCCCAACTAAATCACACAACTATGGCTTTGTCAAATCAGGATTAAAAACCTCTAAGGATGGAGATTCCACTACCTCCTTTTGTAACCCATTCCAGTGCTTTACCCTGCCCCCAATGAAATAGTTTTTCCTAATATCTAACAGACGTCCTACACTGCAACTTGAGACCATTGCTCCTTGCTTTGTCCTTTGTCACCACTGAGAATAGCCTCTTTCCATCCTCTTTGGAACCCCCCTTCAGGTAATTGAAGGTTGCTATCTAATCCCCCCTAACTCTTATCTTCTATAGATTAAATAAGCCCAAATCCTTCAGCCTCCCCTCATAAGTCATGTGCTCCACCCCCCTAATCATTTCTGTTGCCCTCTACTGGACTATCTCCAATGTGTCCACATCTTTTCTGTGATGGGGGGGGGGGTAGAATTGTATGCAATATTGCAGATGTGGCCTCATCGTTGCCAAATAAAGGGGGAATAATCACTTCTCTAGATCTGCTGGCAAAGTTCCTACTAATGCACCCACTATGCTGTTAGCCTTTTTGGCTACAAGGACACACTGTTGACTCATATCCAGCTTCTCATCCACTGTAATGCTTTGGTCCATTTCTGCAGAACTTCTGCTTAGTCAGTTGGTCCTCTAGCAGTGGTTGGGATTCTTCCATTGAACCTCAGATTTCTTTTGGCCCAATCCTCCAACTTTTTTAGGTCCTGGATTCTGTCCCTACCCTCCAACATATCTACTTCTCCCTCTAGCTTAGTGTCAGGCATGAATTTGCTGAGGGTGCCATCCATCTCCTCAGCCAGGTAATTAATGAAGATGCTGAACAAAACCGGCCTGAGATCTGACCCTTGGAGCACTCTGCTTGATAATGACTGCCAACCAGACATTGAGCCATTGATTGCTACCCACTGAGGCCAACAATCTAACCAGCTTTCTATCCACCTTACAGTCCATTTATCCAATTCATACTTTAACTTGCTGGCAAGAATACTGTGGGAGACCATAACAAAAGGTTTGCTCAAATCAAGGTATATCATGTCTACCACTTTCCCCATATTCACAGAGCCTGTTACCTCATCATAAAAGGCAATCATGTTGGTCAGACATGACTTGCCCTTGGTAAATCCATGTTGACTATTCCTGATCACTTTCCCTTCCTCCAAGTGCTTCAAAATAGATTCCTTTTGTGATTTTTCCAGGGACTCGGGTGAGGTTTACTGGTCTATAGTTCCCCAGATTCTCCTTCTTCCCTTTTTAAAAGATGCGCACCACATTTGCCTTTCTCCAGTCATCTGGGACCTCCTGCCATTGCCTCGAGTTTTCAAAGATAATGGCCAATGGCTCTGCAATCACATCAGCCAACTCCCTCAGGACCCTCAGATGCTTTAGCTCCTACTCCATGGATTTGTGTAAGTCCAGCTTTTCTAAATAGTTCTTAACCTAGTGACAGATAATGTGGGAAAAGCTGAAGTATTAAATGCTTTTTTTTTTTTTTTTTGCCTCTGTCTTCACAGACAAGGTCAGCAACCAGCCCACTGAACTAGGCAGCACAGCATGGGAGGAGGTGGGTAGCATTCAGTGGAGAAATAAAAGGTTCTCCCCCTCATTTACTAAGGGTCCCACACCTTCCCTTACGACCTTATTGTTAACATGCCTGTGGGACCCTTTCACATCCCTTGCTAGCTGCAATTCCAGTGGTGCTGTGGCCTTCCTGATTACAGCCTTGCATGCTCGAGCAATAGATTGATATTCTTCCCTAGACCCCTGTCCCAGTTTCCACTTCCTGTAAGCTTCATTTTTAAGCCAAGATTGTTGGCTACTATATTTGCTTTTCTTACTGTACGTCAGGATGGTGTGTCCCTGTACCTTCAATAAGGCTTCCTTCTCTATTTGCTGCTTCTTCTAATCACCACATCTGTCGTGCCTCTTCTCCCTCTTTCATTTGCAACAGGATACATTTTAATTCTGCTACATCACTGTGCTTCTCTCTCAGCAGGCACTGCTGCTTCACATGCCTGCTGGCCATGTGGGCCCACTGACGCTGACACTCTACTCCTGCTCCCAACCCAGCACACTGCTTCATTTTTCAGCTACCATTTTTCTCTTCTACCCTTATATCAGAAATGCAGTAATAAATAGATCAGATGCAGTAACTATTCTACCTCTGAAGTAACACTTCATGCCTTTGTGACCACAACTACTAATTTATATACTCGCTTGTTCTGATAAAAAACTTGCCCTGACCCCTCACACCACTGGGGGTTTTTTTGTGATAAGACTCCTTTGTTAAGTGCGACACATCACTTCTTAGTTCTTTCGACAGCAAGACTGATTCAAATTACAAGTAGTATGTGCCTAGATCATTGACTCTCAGTCTTTCCAGACTAGTGTACTCCTTTCAGGAGTCTGATTTGCCTTGCGTGCCCCCAAGTTTCATCTCACTTAAAAACTACTTACTTACAAAATAAGACCTAAAATACAAGTGTCCCGGCATATTATTATTGCAAAACATGCTTTACTTTCTCATGTTTATTATATAATCACAAAATATATCACTTGGAATATAAATATTGTACAAGTGGGACTGCTATAGTCTGGACTTACATTGTCTGACATGGCTGTGGGTGGTCCCAGGTCATAGCACTCACAGGGAAAAAATGGGCCCCCGCACTCAGTAACTCCTTTCCTGCCCTCACAGAGCTTCATTTGCAGCAGTCAAGCTCAGGGAGGGGGAGCCAGAGGGGCTGTGGAGTTCCACAGCTGAGGGTCTGGAGCGCAGCCCTATGTTTGGCAGTGGGCTCTGCGGCCAACCTGCCTCTTCCCGAGAGCCCCCGCAGTAAATGCCAGCTCTTCTGCTGCTGCAAGAGTGGGCTCAGAGCCGACAGCATCAGAGGAGCCAGCACTGACCTCTCCTTGTTTGGCAAATGCCCCGGTTCAGAACTGGTCAGATCCTGAGGGTGCTGGACAGGGAAGTAAAACCTGTACTTGTATTTCAGTGCATAGCATATAGAGCAATATAAACAAGTTATTGTCTGTATGAAATTTTAGTTTGCACTGACTTTGCTATGGCTTTTTATGAAGCTTGTTGTAAAATTGAGCCAGTATCTAGATGAGTTGATATACCCTCCATGGAACACCTCTCTGTATCTCAGGGGATCCTGTACTCCTGGTTGAGAACTAGGGATGTAATAAAGTAGTTGGTTAAACGATTAAGCAATAAGTGGATGTTTATCGATTAATGCTATTGGCTACACATAGCCCGCCACCCGCACCCCCACTACCGCAGCTCTGCTAGTACATTTTTTAGCAGACTGGCCAACAGCCTTGCTCAGTCCCGGCTGCTATCCTTCCTGTGTCTCTGCAGGAAAAGAATTTTAGGAGCCGGCGGGCAGGCAGCCTGGCTCAGTCTCGGCTTGAGATGGGTCCCAGGAGCTACCCCCCCACTGAAGCTCAGAGTTATTGTAGAGCTGCAGCGGGAGTAGCTCCCACCACGAGCTGGGATTGAACCAGGCTGCCTGCTTACAAGCTCCCAAGTTACTTGCAATGCAGAACCACAGCAGTTAATCGTGTAACCAACAAAATATTTGTTGACTACACAGTTACCAGATTATACACAATTAGCATCCCTATTGAGAACCACAGGCTAAAGAACCCACAAGGGAACAGAGCCTCATTGCACTAGATACTGCACTCAGCCATCTGGGAGACAAAGCTCATTTTGATTTGAATTAATGCATAGGTAATAATATTATGTGAACAGCAACAAAATCTTGAATCAATTTTTGTTTGCCCACACTCAAGAGCTGAATAATTCAAGGCAGCAATTCAGTTTTATTATTTAGTTTAATGGATGCTGTGTACTTCTTAGCCTGCTCTCCCACAGCCTCTCCCCCCCAAAATAGTCTAAGTAAATGGCTCCAGCTGAGAGCAAAACAAAGCTCAGTCATGCCAAGCACAGCAGAATTATAATCTGCCCAAGATGCAATGTTATTCAGTAGTTTAAAAAGTAACTCCATAGAGCTCACAAACAACTTTATTAGGTTAAATTTTTTTTTAAAGTTTCAAATATACCAGTATGATACTTGCTGTCTCAAAAGGACTGAGCAGGTGATACAGAAAATAAATTTAATCTTCTGGGATTGTGAAAATAGTCAAGATTTAGTACAACAGCATCAAAGCAAATGTTGTCCATAATTACTTCATCAACATGCACTATTTTCTCAAATGACCCAAAATTGGAATTTTACTTGAATTTTACAGTAATAAAGCCAGTTCCAACATTTTTAAGTCAAGTAACTCATCTCCCACTTTGGTATTAACTGTTTCATTACCTATGATAGCTAAGAATTATCACGATCACTAGTGATCATTGCAAATCCCACAGCAATTTTCAGAGATTTCAACAGATTCCAACTGGGGTGTTTACGTGACCGATTAATAAATGGGCTTAGCTAAACATCCTTTACCACTTCATCTCTTTTTTACTGCATAACACTTTTTACCTCAGAGAGCTCTGCATTTCCAAGGTGGGTGAAGAGTTTCACATACAAAACATGGAATGCTTAGAAGTTTTCATTTAAAAGACTTTGATTATGAATAAACTCTGTGCTATTCCATTCTTCCAAAATACTGGAACATTGCAAAAGAGAATATAAAATTAAATGAGGATGGATTGCTTTAAAAACTGATAACTGTGAACTTGGACAGGATTTCCATAATTCACAATGGAATTATAGCATTAGAAAAATCTTTTAATAAAAATAAGTTGCAAAAGAATTTGGTCACAAAACATAATATTTAATGAACAATTATTTATTTAACATTTGTCAGAATGCTGACTAGATGGATCTTACATAGTATAGAATGATGCCATGTATATTTTCAAGTCTTTGCAATATTAAAAATAAAAGTATGTTGAAATAGCCCACATAAGAACAAACTCAGGCCATTATCATCTACTGATACAAAATAAATTCTGAAGGGTGTTTTCAATGTCTCCTGAAACACAGTAACACTCGGTCAGGACATCCTAAGATCTCCTTTGGAACCAAACTCTCATGAAGTTAATGGAGCATGAACAATAGAAGGCACAGTGCAGTGTGGTGTAATCTTATTTCAATTAAGCAAAACTAAGGATCAAGCCTTAAAACGGCGTGGTCCCATGTTGTTCCAATTAAGCAAAACTAAGGATCAAGCCTTAAATGGCGTGGTCCCATGAAGTTTGTTCATAGCCACCAGTCCTGGCTTTAGGTCTCATTTAGTCCTAAATGTCTAGTTTGTTCACAGCTACCAGTCCTGGCTTTAGGTCTCATTTACTCCTAAATGTCTTCTAAGAGCCCCATCAGCAATGGAAGTGTTGGTAATGCTGCTAGACAATATTGATTTCCCAGGGTCCAGCTCTGGCCAGGTTTCAAGGGTGCTGAACTAGAGAGATTGTACCTGTATTCCTACTATTCATAACTTTCTTTGTGTAGTATTACTGCTTCAATTACAAAACTATCCTATCAAACTAAAGCTTTATTCTCAAGAAAAACTACAAATACATATACTAACCAGAGTAGGAGAGTCCTGCAATTTGCATATAGAGGTCTTCTTCAGAGAAACTTTCTGGCAACATGAGAAAGGCTGCTGTGACTGCACTCTTCAGATTGCTAACCAGAGCAGCTTGCAGCTTGCCATTTTCATTCTGTGTCAAAATTTTCACCTGAAAAAAAAAAAGAGTTTTTGAAAGCAAGATTTCACCAGGAAAGTGATAGATGACAGATCTAGAATTATTACCCAATCCAGTGTGTAAAAATAAACTGCATTTAATGTAAAATAATTCACATTATTATGATTCAATTAAGTGTAGAGCATGTCCATTTTCTATGTAGATGTTCCCTTTTTAGTACTAATAGCCTAAAGTTACAAGGCTGCAATGAGCGAAAGCCATTGGCTCAGCTCTTCTCTTGCTTCTCCAGTGCTTTTTGTCTTTTCCTCTTTTAGAAACACATCCTGGAGTTAGTCAAAATAGCAATTCTGAGCAAATGTCAAAAAGAAAATACATAGCTGCTGAAGAAACAAGAAAAAGAAGCGAAAGAACACCCACTAGACAAGTGTGAGAAAGAAGAAAAGAGTGAATGACACGATAACAGTGGAATTCTCTCCCTGGAAACGGGGAAACTCAGTCTCCTGCAATCCTTAACAGGCAACCTTGCAGTTTCTTTGCTTATCTATCATATGAGGATGGGTTAGGAAATCTATGAAATAAACCTTTACACAAATTAGTTTTCTTTGACACAGCAGAATTCTGCTTCTCTCCTTGTGAATGGAAGTCCTGCTTGTGTCATCAGAAAGAGATTAAGGGGCTAAGTCACACATGCAAGCAGAATGAAACACCAAAGTTGAGTACATCTATACACCTCTTAGAGAAGTTTGCTCCTAGGAGGTGAACTTGTTTCAATTAATTTAAAATAACCATAGCCACTAAGAACCCTACTTAGAAAGAACATACGTTGGACATAGGAGGCTGGTTGTTAGCAGAATAAAACACATCTTAATACAGAACTCACGTTGACAAAGCTACTTCCTTGTAATTTATACAAAATAATAAACTGCTCCTACAGAAAACTACTCCCTAAATAGTTTTATTCAAAGAAAAACAATAACCTAGCTCTATAAGTGGAAAAGGCAGTCAACAAAAACCAAAAAAAATGATGTTTTTCTGTTAGGCAATGCTACACTGCTTTACTTTTAAGAAATAGATTTTCTAACAAATGTAGGTGCTACTGAAAATCTATACATACATGTCTGCAGCGGGAACTGAGTAAAAATCCCATAAAAGGGTTTATGTGCCGAAATTACTTACATGATTTTAAAATCCCTTCTGTCCACAAAAAAAGTCACTGGAATGTACAACTTAGCAGCTTCCTATTTGTGTTATTTGTCATAAATGTGGTTTGTTCAAACAAAAGTGGAGTTGATCAAGCACTACGGAAATATTAACTCATACTGACCAGAAATACATATACCTAGATCATCAATGTATGGAATTTAAAAATCTTTAAAAATGGACTGGAGTATTGACCTGGGCTTTGCAGAGACTACTCTAAAAATAAAAACGTCACCAGAACTTTTACATTATAGGCAGAAAATGAGATTGTTTCACACGAGCATCTTGTATGTATATTTAAAGAGGAAAGTTAACAATTTCAGGTGAATCTTTCATGTGAAAAAAAACATACACTGAGAGGTTAATGCAGGGGCAGTCTAAGATTCCTTGGTTCTACTGTATACAAATACATATTAGGTTAGCCTTTCACTTTTCAGGATCCCAGGGAGCTGAAAATTAGGTCTATTGCACACTAAAGACTATGTTATCACCAAGATCGCAAAGTCAAATGTTCAAAAGTGAGGAAATACAAAATTAAGGTTGATTGTGCAACTTGAAATTAGGTTCCCTTCCGTGTATACCATGATATTCATATTATTTTTTCCACAGGACTCCGTCTTATTCATTGCACAAAATGGACAGTGCTCACTTAATGAGTAGCTATTTGATGTTTTATTTTCTCCTCATTCAGTGAATGGTCCTAGGCATTAGTTGTTCTTATTAGTGTCTCCATCACCATGGTAGCCTACTCTGTATGATTCTATGTTAAAGTCTTTGTGGATGAATAGTCCTTTGATACATCCAGGATATCACATCATCCAGCTCATGTGTTTTTCTGCCTCAGGTTATTTTGCTATCAACCTGGCTTTCCAGTGCCTATAAACATGAATTTCCCACTAAACCCCTTAAAAGGTGCCTTACAAATCATATCTTTCTTTTCATAAAATCCACCGTATGTTGAGTGTGTCATTCCCAACGCTTTTTTGTTAGTTTCAGAGTCTATCCATAATATGTTTAGAACTCTTCTACACTACCATAATTTGAAATGTCGCAGTTCCTTTATTACCTGTTTCAGTGTCTGCATTTCAGTCATGATTTTCCATACATCAATTAGAAGTTTTTTTAGGAACAGAATTTACATCCCTTTCATCTGATGTTTGTTCTTCCAGCATGTCCCTTTTGCTCTAGCTATTCTGGTACTGAATTCAGAATCTGAATTTCCATCTTCTGTAACTATGCTTCCTAAGAAACAATATTTTTTCATCTGTTGCATGGCAGTACACTGTTTCTGGAACCTTCATATTTTCCCAGGATTCTTGCACATTATCATAGCTTTTGTTATGTCCATGTTCAACCCAACACCACATTCTTTGCCTCATCAGACCGTCTTCTGAATTAGCACAATGAATGTTATTTGCTCATTTTCCATACATCTTAATACTCCCTTCTGTTTCTTCAAGTAACTGAACACTCAGTACATGTACTGAATAAAGCTTGTGACATTACACAACTGTCTCATTCCACTTTTGATATCTAACAAAGATTCTCAATCGCAGATATCAAGTAAACCTGTTAATAATAAATGAAGTAATCATGGCAGCAATAAAGAGCCTTCCAAATAGAAGAGTACTAGATTGTGATGGAATACTGGCTGAACTGTTAAAAAGCATAGAAGATGAAGAGTTGAAAGCCATGTCACAAGTAATGAAGAATATATCTGAGATAAGTGAATTGCCAGAAGACTTTACAACCTCACTGTGTAGCCTAATCCTCAAAAAGACCACCACTAAGAATTGTAAAGAATACAGCACTATCAGCCTAATATCACATGCCTCTAAGCTACTTTTTCAATCTGTTCAAGACTTATACCACGAAAGAAGGAAGTAAAAAAAAAATAAAAAATTTTAGCTTCAAATGGAAAGGGAATTATAAACACCATTACGAACACGAAGCTAATATTACATCAATTGTTTCTGTAGAAATGCATGCTGCTCTGATTGTTAACCGTATAAATAATGGCTGCTTCTTACTTTACGATCTCTCTCTCCGTACAATGATACTGCAATATACATAGGTAACATGAAAATAACCAATGTCATAATGATACTTAATTAAGCTTTTTTTTCTTTCATCCATCTCTCAGAAAATTCAATGAAATCTCTCTTGTTAAAGGCAGAATTATCTGTTCAGGTAATACTGGATTTAAAAAAAAATCTAGCATCAGGTAATACTGGATTTAAAAAAAAATTCTTTAATTACTTAAAGAAAACAAGCCAGTTATGAAGAAGCTAGTTCAGGTTTGAACGTTTCTAGTCCAGAACCCTCGGGACCTGACTAGTTCTGAACCAGGGAATTTTCTGGACCATGGGAGGTCAATATTGTCTAGCAGCATTACAACACTTCCACTACTTACTGTACTGCTAGAGGACTTTTAGTGGCAAATTACAGCTAATTTTAGTGGCAAATTACAGCATAGAACACTAGGACTGGAGGCTGTAAATAAACTTTAAGGGACTGCAACAAACTTGGCCACAACCATGAAAATCATTCTGGATGATGGATGTTTCTGGATGAGAGAGTTTTGGATTAGACAGGTTCAATCTGTATCTGTTTCCTCAACCAACAACTAAACAAGAACTTGGCTATGCCACAGTGTTTCAAAGCGGCAGCACCACACAGCTGAGCTTGGGTTCTGTGAGGCGCTGCCCCTTTGAAATGCCACCCCGACATTTTAAAGGGGCAGCGCCACCTGGAGCCTGGGGTCAGCTGGGGACTCCCCAGCTGATCCCAGGTTCCAGTGCAGCATTTCAAACTGCACAGAGCCTGGGGTCTGCTGGAGAGTCCCCAACTGACCCCGAGCTCAGCGTGGCATTTCAAAGCGGCAGTGCAGCATGGAGCCTGGGGTCAGTGGGAGACTTTGAATCCCCTGCTAACCCCAGGCTCCACGTGGATGCTTCCGCTTTGAAATGCACAAGAGCCCCTGCTGGGGACTCTTGTACATTTCAAAGCAGACATGCCGTGTGCAGCCTGGAGTCATTAGGACTTCCCGCAGGCCCCGGGCTGCGTGCGGAAGTGCCTATTAGTCCATTAGTAAATTACTCAATATTTAACATCCTTAGTTGTGTTCAGAGTGAAAAGCTAATA